GGAGAAAAAAAAGGAGACGAATGAATATGATGGGAGAATAATTACTTTAAAAAACAGAAGATAATAGCTGAATCAAAATGTTTTAGAATTGAGGGAGAAGAAGCGAGAAGGACAGACAAATAGATTGACGGACGAAGACAAAAACATGGTAAAAAAGAAGGGAAGAGAAAAGTAAAGGGAGCGAAGCGAGGTGTTTTCCCTGGGCAGCGCGAAGGAAGTCTTGTCCAATAAACACAGGTGAGCAGCTCGACAGGCCAGGACCACCAGGATAACTGACAGCTGAGAGCGCTCACTGACCTCCAGCTTTATGTTACATGACATGAGGAGAGACACTCAACTGACAAAGAGAAACTGCCCGCGCCTCCCACAGTGTGTAAGGAAACACACACACACACACACACTAACACACCTACGCACACCGGCTAAAGCAGCATCCATGCTTTGTGGTCACAAAGTTGCAATAACCAAAATATCCACTCACACACACACACACACACACACACCAAAATATCCACTCGCGCACACACACACACACACACACACACGGAGGCAGACAGGAGGAGACACTTCCCTTCACAGGTGAGCAGGAGAAGGAAACACCCGGGTGCTTCGGTTACGTGGAGAGGGGAGAGAGTGAGAAGTTGTGGGGGGGTAGAATGTGTGCTGTGTGGCGACTGAATCTTTTCCACATGACGGGCCTCGGGCTGTTTTTGTCAACTGCACTCTTGAGCAGCGAGGAGTCAGGTAGTGTGACCACATGATTGCCCAAGAGGCACAGTGGTGAGAGAGGCAGAAATGTGGGGAGAGAGAGAGAGAGAAAGGAGCAGGGAGGGAGTGCGGGGAAGGGAGAAGGGCCGGTGGTCGGCAGCAGGACTGATGCAGCACGCATGATGAGGTGTAATCACAAACCCCATTCAGAGTGCAGTGGAGTTTGTCAACATACACACATTCACATTCCACTGTCTGTCAGCTCCATGACCCAAATCGAGCGTGCTATGCGAGAGTGTGTGTGCTTTTCCACACACACACACACACACACACACACACACTGATGCTTTCTGCCCACTCTGCCTCCAACCAGGTAGTAACAGTTGCACTGTGGAGAGTTGTGGTTTGTGATGAGAAAGTGAAATGCCGAGCTCTTGTAGGTTTTCGCTGCCCCCTGTATCCCTTTTCAAGCTGCGATCAAATGATCATTATGAACAAAGGACTTGGCTCGTTGCCTCTGGAGTGAAAGCTTTTTCAGAGGCTGCGACCGTGTGGTTTGATTCAAAACTTTTACTTGTAAAAGGGGGGGAAAAAAAGAAAGACTGTGTTGCAGCATTGAGGACACCATTTGATTTGGAGTCTGACCTAAAAAAAAATAGGGGTAAAATATCTTTATTTTGAAAATATCCAAATTCATTCAAGGAAAAACAATAATTTTGCATGCAGGAATTTGCTAGGAAAAAAAATCAAAGCAAATAAATTAGATATTTTTTATCCTTTAAAAGTTCCAGGTTGTGGGGTGGAAAATTTGGCTGTGATGAATGCAAAGCAACACAGCAAGCTGCTGTTAAAAAAAATTGAAATAAAAAATTGGTATGGGAGGGGCGGGATCAGCTCACAGCCACTTAGAGCAAAACCTTAAAAGAAACATTTTTGATTATATTTATATATATATATATATATATATATATAAAATTTTTATTTTTTTAAGGTGAAAATGAAGCTAAAATGTTGCGGAATTTCTGGTTAATACATTTGGCCAAGTCATTTATCCAGTGCTCAGCAAGGTTAGCGTTACCTTGGTCCTTCCAACTGGGAAACCGCATCTATGGTTACTAACACTTGCAATCATACTATAACATCATTAGTGTTACGTAGTACCCTAAATACATAAAGCCAATTAACAATCTAAAATATTCATCATGTGGAATAATTAATAACTGATACAAAAAAAAAAAAAAAGGTACCGACACACGTGAGAGACTGAAAAGGTTGCCCTTCAGCAAACAGGATGTGACAAATGTAACACCTGAGGAATTAGGTTCAGGTTTGTAATGACCTCCATATTAGTTCACACACATTCACACCTACGTGAATATTGGTCTAAAACACAAGTTCCAACTGTTTAGGCCAAGAGAGAAGAATGAACAACAAGGCAGCGCTGATTCATTGGACACGATCACCTGCAAATGAAGCCTTCCATAATTCTTCCCACCTGGAATAAAAAGTTCAAACTAGTGTCAGGCAGCTCTGATGTCATGCCTGCCTGGGGTTGAGTTTCACAATAATCTCAAGCTCTTGGAAAGATGCCATCAGGTCCAGCCTTAGCACCCAAGATTTCGTCAATTAACTCGCAGGGGAGAAAAAAATAACACACGAAACACTAGATTCTTGCTCAGTTTTTTGGGGGGGAAATTAAACTTGTGTTTGCAATCAGACATATACAGGCTCTCAGTTTTCTCTAATACTGAATGTACACAGAGGGAAATACTGGAGGGGCCCAAAGGTATGCAGAGGTCGCCTCTGCCTAACACAAAGAGAATGTTTTCAGAACTTTCATAAACAAAGGCATGGAATTTAAAAAAATATATATGTAGCAGGGGACGAAAACAATAAAAAGACTCAATATCATCACGGCCATTGTCTATTTTTGGTCCTCATCTATTCAATTTAGCTCGCATCTGTCGCCCTTTATGCTCATCAGAGTTAAACACCTGACAAATGCTACAGATAAGGTGATACTAACAAAGATCTGTCACCTGTCTCATAGTTCACTTCTTAAATCAGCAACAAAAGACGATGAAAAACAACAATATATGACTTCTCAGAGTCTAGTAAAAAAGGAAAGAGTCCCTAATAGGACAAATCAGCAAAGGTATGTCATTTGTCCCTTCTTTCATGTTTTAGTTCACATCAGACACTTGGTATATGTGAATAACAATAGACACGAAGAATAATACAACTTCTTTTATCAAAGTTAATTCTGTCTTAAAGTTTCAAGTTTGACGGTAGTGTTTCCAAACTGAATTCTTCATAGTCAGAACACATTCAGCTTAAGGTGGTCAGATGTCAAACTGCAGGATGTATCAATTTATTCCGTCTCACAATGACCTAGACAATTGGCCTCAACAGTCGCAAGTCTGGAAGTATTTAAAAAAAAAAGTTGGCACAGGAGAAGAAGTCGAAGACAGTAATATGGAGATTTTGGAATTCAGGACACTTGGTGTCTGTTTTTGAAGAAATTCACCAAGTGATTCCCAAATGAACCCACTACAGAATCCACTTTTTTTTTTTTTTTTTTATGAAGGACCGATTCGGTCACAAACCGTTAACAGAGAAACAATTAGTACTCTTCAATTTACTTAGTTGTAAGAAAACCTTGGAACAACAATGTTGCATGTCTGATCTGTATTATTGGTAAATTCACAATAAACAAACATAGGAAAACTGCCACCACCACCTAACATACAGTAGGGGAGTTCAGCTACACAAATCCATCCAGTTAATCTTATCTTCTGCTTGAACACAGAGACATGGAGAGTGGTTCAAATTTAACAGGCCAACTGAGTTATAGCTCGGGTAACTATTGGAGGCTAAATTGAACCTCATTAAACTCAAATTTTAAACTTTCAAGTTTTAAAACTTCCAACTTCTCTCACTCTTGCCTAACAGGCAAGACAAAACAGTGGACCATAGAAAAGGGTGGATGAAGAACGACAGCAGATCCCTGGGACTGGGAGCAAAAGGAAGGAGAGGAGGGAGAGGAGGAAAAGTAAACCTTTGATGAGTAAGACTTTTTTGTTAAGCAAGGGGGCTTAACTTTAAAATATTCTGGGTGGCAGTGAATGGGGGATTGACCAATGGCCCTGAACTCAGCCACACACTGGGGCACGGGGGTTAATGGTGGATAAAGATTAGAGGAGGAAAAAAAAAAGAAGAGGGTTCCTTTGCCTGATCCCAATCCACCCCCACATCCCCATCCAGCAGTTTTCACCTCTTCCACCAATCCCAAATCAGCAAGACAATGGAAGCTACCAATGGGGAACGATTCCAAGTCCCTTTGATTTCTACATCCACCTCAGGAGTGCTCTGAGTGCCCAGAGTAAAGACCCGTTGAGTTTCCCCCTGTTTGCCCACTCACAGGAGCAATCCTTAGGAGGCTCAGAGAAACCATTAAGGATTGGAAATGAAATGACAAAAAGTCTCTGATAAATGAAAAAAATTAAATTAAATTGTAAATGTAAGCGAAGGACAGTTTAGTCTCTGAAGTAGCCAAATACATTTATTTTTTTTATTGGTTTAATTTCTACATAAAAAAGTACATCTTAAGGTATTGAGGAGATTTTCTGAAGAGATAAATAATGAAGGCCAGAAAATATGTTAAAAAAAAACATCTTTGAGAAAAGAAATAGTTTTGCAAATTAAAAATCAGTTTTAGTTGAAAGAGCGTTTCTTGACCATATTGTCCCTGGAACAAAGTGTTGAGGTGATGTGAATGTGTGCAGCTGAGATGCATAGCTCTTTGTGACAGAAATAATCGATAGAAAGGCCACACTGGTCATGTTGGTCATATAATTGGTCACTCTCATTATGTCCTCACACACGATGACTGGGCTGACCTGGCGGCTAGCACCATCCTGTTGCACTGGGTTTTTCAAAACAGTAAGATGAGTCTGAAGAACTCCAACTAGTCAGCCATTACACAGAGTATAATTTAATATTATTAACACTTTTCTTACCTGAAATCTGCCATTTTACAGGGTATTTGTGATTTAATTGGAATCTTTAATTTTATTGGCTTCACTGTAGTTTTCCTTTACTTTCACATTCAGTTTAAAACCTTCCAGCTCTGGTCACTGTAGTAAACGGTTTATGTTTTTACTACCCTGGACTGTGAAGCAAAACTTCACCAACCATTAAACCCGACATAGCCTTATACAGTGGCTAAAATATTCTGGAAGAAGAAGATGACAACAAGCATGCAAGGACAATGAAAAATATTTTGGACTTACCACTTTGGACTTTACAGTGTGTATCGTCTGTTTTTTTCTACGGCTTCAGAATGTACATGTGCATATTTCATCCTGAAAAAGGACAAATTGAAAAGGTTAGGCTCGAGCTAAAAGTAAAAGTGCAACAATGAACAAATCCTGACACTCTAGATTCTTTAAGACCAACGATACTGCACAGCTGTAGATAAAGGAGCCATTAATATTGGTTTGGAGCTAAAATAAGCCCCTATCTATATAACCGGGTCACGCTCTGCAACAAATCTCAATCAAGACATCAACAAAATAAATAAAAAGCCTGTTATCCAAGCTTGCCCACATTTGTCGGCCATAATGCATATCATAACTTCTGAGCTGGGGTAGATTGAAAATCCTTGGGGTGTGAAAACCAAACAGGCACAACTGAAAGGTTGCCCAGTGAAGAGGGAATTCTATCAAGGTGGACAAGATGAAGATTTGTTATGTCACTTGTTTCTTGTCCATTTCACTGTTCCCTTCAATCACCCAAACACTGTGGGGCTAACAATACTATAATAACACAACCAAAAATACAGTTGGTGTCTTGGACCAAAAACTATATCAGTTCATCATTTTAAGACAGTTATTGTTTTTTTATATATATATAGCTGCAGCACTGTAAATGACTGAGCAGGGATTTTAATCCTGATCCTGACTCTGATCATTTTCAAGGTTAAAGTTACTCTGACAGACAGACACGAAGGAACCTTGTTCAGAACTTACCCTAAGGGAGATAATTAGCAGTTGTGGTCCGTCACAGGAATGGATGGAGTCCAGCGATGTCAGCTTTCTGAGATAAGACAAAACAGTAAGTATACCATTACCAGGACTATTTCATGACCTGCAGATTGTTTTTTTTTTTGCCATGTTTCTCAGACACGTCCGTTGCCGGTAAAGACATGTGTGGGCTCGACTCTGCCTTGCAAAACTACTTTCTGTATAGCTCGTAGGTAAAAGCAATAAACTTTAAAACAACAAAGAGCACCTGGATTTTGTGTGAAGTTGTGTGTGTGTGTGTGCATTTGTGCATGCACAAACAGGCAATGTACAGTAAAGTTCAAGTCATAGTACCCTCCCCAACACCCCCACATACAGTACACGTATTACTCAAGTTGAAAAGGTGCAGTGCCTGGAAGGCTGAAGCTATCAACGCAAAGTAAATCACACTGTTAACCTGACACAACTGATTTCACATGTACTTCCACTCAGCCGCTGACATCCAAGTACGTACTATAGTATGGCATCCACATAAATCCAAACATCATTAGTACTGATGATTTTATCAAAGCAAATAATAAAAATAAAGGATGAGCCACAAAGATATGCGGTGAAAGTTCATTTTTCTTTCAACTTTGGCAGGAAGGAGTTCAAAATAGCCCCGATGTTCTTTCACAACTGTTTTTTTTACCCCTCCTCTTTATGCACCCAGAATCCCAATCAACCCTACAGGCAACCAGTGACTGCTGATTCCTGAGGAATGTGCTCTCTGAACTGTACGGAGAAAAAAAAAAACAATCCACTCAATGGGAACTGCTGAAAACAAAACATGCCAATTGCTATAATTGTCAGTTTTTTGGTATTTTGGAGAACGTTACACATGCTGTGCCACATTTACTTGACTGTGGTAAGAAGATTTAGGGTAGCAGATAGGTTGCCAACTAATGAAATGGAAAGCACGTACAAACCCTGTTTTCAACATGTCAGTGCTGCTTATTTAAAAAAATAAAAAATACAAATGATTAAATGAATGATTTTATGTTATTTTAATAGGTAATCTAACCTTTTTAGACATTGTTAAAATCTTGGTGTAAAATGTTTAACCTTCTAAACAGTTCGGGACTGTTGCATTGTTCTTCTCAAGAA